AGCCAGCATGGCTGGCTGGAGAGTTCTGGGAGTTGAAGTCCACACAGCTTAAAGCAGCTAAGGTTGAGAAACACTGAGCTATTCTGAGCTACAACTTCCAAAGTCCTTTCTTATTGATGTCAATAATAACAACAATAGCTCTATCTGAGGACAATCCCTCCAAGACAGAAGTAGATCTGGTGATCCCACAGAGTCATTTGCACCCATTGAGACTAGCACAGCCCTTGGTTCAGAATCAGTCCCTGAAGCTTTGGGTCCTCTCCCAGGACTCTGATTTAACTTCCCCAGCTCAGTCATCTAGCCTGTGCAAACTGAGTTTATGGCAACAGCATCAGATAGAATATTGGAAGACAAAGAGAACCAGCGTGCTTCCTTGTAATCCAAGCCACCTTAGAATCTACTCAAATATGGTCCAATGTGCCAGGATAACTTTCCAGCTGAATCAGGCTTAATAAGCACTACTTGAGTTAAGACTTACTAAGACTTAACTTAGCATTCCTTGGTTGCCTTACAGCTGCATCAGTTTTAACAAGAACCAGCTGTGTAAGGGTGGGCCAGCCATGGTCTCTAGTATTAAACTCCCTGTTTGAGAATAGCCCCTTGTTGGAAACAGTGTTTGCTGCTTGGGAGCTGGTGAACTATATTGACTCTGGGCTGCCTAGACCATCAACTTTGGCCTATTCTGCTTGCTTTTTTGGAATCTTAACCTAGACTTGCACTAGTGTTGTTTTTAATTTCTATGCTGACTTACTGGTTATACTTCTGCATTTTGTGTGGCCATGAGTAATCCTTTGGGGGAATTAGACCAAACAAATGTTTTCCTGGAATTGTGCAACAGAGAGCAACCATGTGATCCTGGGAAAAGGCATGGCTACTTTAAGGAGTTACACATTCTCACTTTATTGTTCCATTCAGCGCAACTGTACAGAGCCTGGAAATGTTAAATTCTATGGCCTGCAGCCACTTTAAATATATGATGCTATTATACAAACAAGCACAAGCCTCATCATTATTTAACAAACCCAAGAACCATAGATCCTTTTTAGCAAGATCACACAGAATAACCATACCTGTCCGGGGCCGATGTAATTACAATCGGCGTTGATGTGGCAGCCGCCTCTGGTCTCCATTACACAGTTGTCTATGGTAACACAAGCTTTTCCATCCCCGGTCCAACCCCTGATGCACTGACAGCTGACTGTGCCAGGACCTGTGCTGGTACACGTCGCCTGGCAAGAAATGGAAAAGCAAGATAAGGAAGCGCTACCAGCATCTTCTGCAAGAGAATGAGAGAAGGGCGTTTCTCTCTCAGGGTTAATTAGGTCATTTCTGCACTTTCCATTTAAGCTATTCTTGTCCTGTGCTCATGCCATCTTGACTCTAAGCCAGCTTAAGAAAATCCTATCCAGGCTGAGACATTTTGTCAACAACTTGCAAGTTACTTGGTCTGGACTGTAGGCTATCACATCCTCTCACTGGATAATTGCCCTGTTTTTAACGTCTCAGGAAAGCACTTTCCTTCCTATGGGCAAGGCTTTTTTTTAATATATATACATACACATACATACACACACACAGAGTGGGGCAAAAAAGTATTTAGTTAGCCACCAATTGTGCAAGTTCTCCCACTTAAAAAGATAAGAGAGGCCTGTAATTTTCATCATAGGTATACCTCAACTATGAGAGACAAAATGGGGGGGAAAATCCAGAAAATCACATTGTCTGATTTTT